GGCTATTGGCTTGACTGACTTTTGTTGTAAATCTGTTAGAGACAATGTATAGATTATCTGAGGTCCTCTGTCGCCAAGCCAGAGTAATAAACATGTGACCTGCACCGCCTTTCTTTTTTTTAGAGGCTAAAAAATATTAGTTCTGCGCTCTGTCGTAATTTTCTAAAACTCCTCTTCAGGGTTCTGACTGTCCCAGTTCATTTTCGGGATTGGCACACCATTTAAATGTATGATTTAAAGCTTTAATGTAGTAATGCCTCTCAAGAAAGTTAATCTGAGTGAATGTACACAATTTAATTTCTGTCTATCAGAATGCTTGCTAAATCCAAATGTTTATTTCTTCTGTCTAATGCAATATAATTCTAATTCTTTTTTTTTCTTTAAGGTCGCCAGAAAATTAACTTATAATGAACTTTTTGGGAGTTCTCTCAGATTACAAATAAAGGGAGATTATATCAAATAAGAGAACTTATTTAGAAATATTTCAGACTTGAAATTGTGTTACTTCCCTTAAATTGTTATACCTAAATTTCTATCTAGTATAATTAGTATACATGTGTCTCTCTGAGCTCTAATCTTATCAACATCTGTTCACAAAAATATAAATATAAAAGTTACAATCTTGTTACCATCCATGCAACAAATCAAATGAATATTTACCTTTAGATAAAAAATGACATACAGTGCTTATAGATTTCAATATCCTCTCGTTGCAATTTCTTATAATATATCGGTTACAACTCGCTTGGGAGGCTGAGAAAACGGTGCACATATTAAAATATGCACTCGTGCCATAAATTTCCACGTGCGGCACTGGTAGACACACATAGGGTCGCACACTTATTCTTATTTAATAGGCTAGTTATAGGAGCTTTGGAGAAGTTTTTATTGAAGACGTTTCAATTATTTGTATGTAATTTTTTTTCATGAATTAAATCGTTTAATCAAATATGCAAGAAGTGCACCGTGTGAGCTTGAAAGCATTGATGATACACGTTTGTAGGCTCAATGTTTTACTAAATGACGTAAATACTTATACTTTAAAGTTTCAACGTAATATAAGATATATGAATTTGGTTTTTCTTAAGATTTTACCCTCCGTCCGTCTGTCCGTCCGTCCGCAAAATTGAATCCCGTGATAACATAAAAAGGGCTGAAAATATTTTTATGAAACTTAAATAGATGGCAGTATGGAGATTATAAACATCATTTTAAGCGCGACTATATGTAACATTGATGTTTATGTATTAAGATGATATACTTATGTATAAGTCTGATAAAATGTCTGTTCTGTTCTATGTAGTCTATTGTATGAGCTGTCCTCGGCGACCTGGTCCAGAATTCTGATTTTAGTTTTTATATAGTTAAATCTTTCTCACTATAACTTCTTTATTTCTTAAGGTATTAAATTAAAATTTGAAATATATGTTTCTGATTATCAACTACATCATATGTGATAATTCGAGCACAAAAATCATCAGAATTAACCCCACTTGAACTTAGAATTTCCATGAAGAAATGTTTTTTTTTTTAATTTTTTCTATAACTTCTACTTCAAACTTCAAATTTATGTTTAAGTGACAAATGGTTATGTGACGAAGCGGATAAATGGGGTTACCCCATGTAGGGCCTGAAAAAAATATGTTTCTTATCATCACCTACATCATATGTGACAAGGTTTTTAATTCTAGCACCTATAGATAAAAGTTTCATCCTGGAACTCAAACTACGTTTGTTTTCTATGACTTCTTTCTTTCTTAAGGTATAACTTCAAAGTATATGTTCCTTATTTTCAACCAAATCATATGTGAGAAGATTCAATACTCTAGCTTGACTTTTTTCAAAAATTATGTCCCCTTTAGATTTGAACTAAGATTTTCAAACTCCCCTATAATATTATGACAAGGTTTAAAATTTTGCGTCCATACTTTCAGCATAATCTCCTCCTTAAACATTGAATTTTCCGTATTAGTCTCCTTAGGGAAACTTTAGGTTTACCGTCCGTCTGTAACGGTCTCACCCCGGTACGGAATTAGACCCAACCCGTTGTAGTCTAGAAAGTAGTTCTTTTAATTTTTGAAGTGGCCCAGTTTAAGTCCTCTATAGTTTGATTGGTCATAATTAAAGTGTATTTATTACATGTGTGTAGTTTTTGTGTGTTATAGGATGACTTTAAAAGTTGTTTTTTGTGTATTATCCAGGAACTCAATTGTTGGCGGAAGAATTAAAAATGTACTACCCACCAGCAGTCAAGAGTTTTCAAAGTGGTGAATTTAAACAGTGTTTCAACAGAATGAAGATTTCTGAAAAAAGAAAATGCCTAACATGCCATATTTTGGACCTCATTTCACTTAGTGTTGATGTTTAAAGATGAAGACATTATATAATTCATCAGGAACAGTGGAATTGAGAATTAAGCCTCAAATGTGACTGATTTACTATAGAACAAAGAATACGAAAAATCGCTAGGCCGACTCCTAACGCAAAAGTTCTGAAAATATTTATGTGAAACTTAAAATATATAGATGACAGTCTGCAAATTACGCACTTCTTGTTACTTTTTACAGTATTGAACAATGTGGTTACTCTATGGCAGCAAATGGACTTAAAAGATAGCAACTATGATAATATTTGTGATAACTTAAAAATTGATGAAAATATTTTTATGAAACTTGAAATATGGATGTCTTTATACTTTTCCCTGTATTGAACAATGTGGTTGCTCTATGGCAACAAATAGACTTGAAAGATAGCAACTATGACAATATTTGTGATAACTTAAAAGTGATGAAAATATTCTTATGAAACTTGAAATATGGATAGGAAGCAGAATGGAGATTATGCATAACATTTTAAGCTCGACAATAGGAAATAAATAGAGAGCTGTCCTACTAACCTCTTACGTTGGTGACTGCGTGAAGAGTTCTTACGCAGCAAAATCCTTATTATCTTTTAAATTATAATTGAAAAGACTCAGTACTCCAGCTGGACTCTTTCCAGAATTATGCCCCCTTGTAGTTAAATCAAGAAATTATTACTTTTACTCAAATTTCTTCATGTCTAACTTCAAACTAGTACATCATAAAAATATGACAAGGCTTATATTTCTAGCGTCCATGCTTTCAGAATTATCTCGCCGACAGGCTTTGATGTTACCTTATTTAGTCTATCAATTGCTTTCAAGGCCCTGTCCTATTTTGGTTTGGGGGTCCTCCCGCTGGCTCTTGTTACTGGGTCCGGTGGGGGCTGCGTTCGTTTGAACGCCGCCTTTCCTTGTTGATCTTGTTTATCATATTTTACTTCAAATTTCAAATATATGTTCATTTTTAACACCGACATCATATGTGATTAGATTAATAATTTTAACACCTGAATTTCTACGAGTATCTTCATTTTAAATTTGGAATTTATTTGCACTTAGTCATTATCTGTCATGTACAGACTCAATCAAACCGAATCTGCAATTTTCATGTAATTCTGTTGTGATTTATGCTTCCGAAGGATCACTTTGTTTCCACAATGGTCATGACCCTTCATTATGTTGCTAGGGTTCTAATCGGTAGGTGACGTTTGTATTGCTTGCAATACTTTGATAATTGTTATTTTTAAGTTGCCACCACGATTAATGGTTAAGTTGCCATGGTTGATCATAGTGAGTTAAGTTGCCACAATACTAGTATATGTTGAAGTTACATAAAGTTTTGTTGTCAGTGATGTTGCCATTTTTGTTGTGTCAGTGACTTCATTTTCAGCTCCATGGCTATGTTGCCACAACTTATGATTTCAGTTTCAATTATTAATGCTTAGTTAAGTCGCCATAGTTTAAGGTTAGTTTTGTTGCAACTATTAAGTGTTAAGTTGCATAAAATTTAAGTTCAGTAGCAAGTACCATAGGTTGATATCCACCTTAGGTTGATATTTACCCCGATGCTATGATGCAGGTATTTGTTAGGGTCTTTCCAAATATGAAAGACATCGGTCTATAGATAAATACACAGGAAAAATATAACATCATATACCTTTATTAGGAAAATAATTCGAAAACAAAGAAAGTTAGAATTATTTATCAGTGCCTTTCTACATTCTTATTGCCTCACTAGTTTCATGCAGCATTTTTTTTTATTTTTGTTATTTATTTGCTTTTTTTAAAAAAATTATTATTATTATAATAATGATTATTATTTTGGAGAAGGGTAAGGGGACTATGAACAATGTGGTGCCAAAATTTGGTGTTTTTTTTAATATGTTATCACGATATCATATTTTGTTGTTTAATTTATGTTACATTTTTTATAGTATAGATCAGCGTTTAACATGTTTCATTTAACAGGGCTGGGAATCAGAACTGCGTCGTATCCTACAAATGTAAACAAATGCCGCCATCTTGGAACGAAAAAAGGGGTCAGTTTATTTTCACTAGAGAATTTATGTCCAACTACCCCCAACCCGCGCCCAGGGCTCTCAATGGACAGCCAGACAAACGGAATGACGTCGACTACATGCCCCATCCCTTCAATAAAGTCGGTGCTTTAGGTACAGTATCTAATGATAGTCTGGTTCAAAGTTTTCTATAGGCTTGTGTAAAAGCTCCAGTGATTTGCAAAAAATGTTTTTGATGGTTATTTAGCTAGGGAACTCCGATCTGCTCCGCACGATCATCGGAAAATTCCGATATCTAACAGTCTGTAATGGTCTTCTATGCAGGTTATAAATTTTCAATATTGATCGATAAATCAAAATGGTGCACAGTGAGACAACATTCATTATATATCCGAAGAGCGTGTGTAAATTAAAGGGAAATAAAACGTGCTAAACTGTCACAGGAAGTACATACTATATTTTAATGATTAGGTGAATCATAGGGAAATTGTGTAAAGTGCGACTTATACATGTACTAATAATCTGTTCATTTCACGACAAATTGACAAACGATTTTACATTTACATATAGAAGCCGTATATTTTTAAAATGACGGAGACAATGAGAAAATTGAAGGATAGTTATGTTAAGCTAATTTAATCTTGTTTCTCGTTTTCATGAAATTCTACAGTAGGCGCATAATGCATTTTAGTACAAAAATACCATAGTATTAAATATATACGTATAGCAATTAAATTGTTTCGAAATTTTGTCTTAAATCTTATGGGTTCCTGTTTATTATCTTAGGCACAAAAATGAATTATTTTACATAAATACTATGGTATAAATTTATACTTAAGCAATGAGACAAGGCATATAGATCTGTTTTCAAAATTTTGTCTTAGGTCTTGTGGATACCCATTCAGCTATTTCCGGTACACTTCCGACACGGGATTGATGCTCTTTCAGTAATGATCTGCCTTCGAATGGGTCCACATTAACTAACAAAGCAGTGAGCAATGACAGACCATCATAAATTGCAAGATCACCAAGTGAAAGCTGAAAATATAAAGAAAATAATCGCCTCAATTGACGAACTTTGCGTCAAAAGACACACATTTGCATAAAGTTCATATTGCATGCAATCTGCTGTTTCTTTTCTAAACATAGCAAAAGAAGGTATATTTAGTAATTTGGTGGCAACTCACAATGTACATTGTAACTACATGTATATAAATTATATAAAAAAAGAATAAAAATATTTTTATTGTATCAAAAAACAACGAAGAAGAAAAGTGGAAATGACATATTTAGTAACTGTTTTATTTTAAGCATTGGTAATTATATCTAGTTTGATTCATTTGATTACATTTATAACATTTGATTTTGTACTTCACATAGAGGCGGCCAGGGTAAATACTCACCCCACCCCCCTCCACCCAAAACACAGGCGCGCGCGCGCTCGCACACGCACGCACCCTTCGTTCAACTACTTAGAGCGGCAGTAATGTTCATGTTGGTGTAAATTTAAAATACATGTATTTCACATGATCATTACAATCGCTGTATATCAAAGGGAATAAAATTACCTTGTCACCAACAAGAAAACCTTTACCATCTTTGTTTTCTTTTAGTCGCATCTCGAGGAAGGTCAGATATTTTTTCATAGGTCCCTCAACAAATGTTTTAACGAGTTTGTTCTGTAAAAAGAGTATGTAAAATACAATTTGTTTTCATGGTAAAAGGTTAGATAATATACTAAAAATTGTGCATATAAAAAAATGATATTTTTTTCATGAAAATTCTAATTTTTAACTAATGTCTGGTATAACATATGTTCTCATATGTACCGGCAATATGAATGCAAATAATTACTTTCTGGAAACGTCTTACACAATCAGTAAACGTTTCCAGCTGTGGATCCATAAAATATACTTTTGTAAAAATACTGGCATCGTATAAAACAATAATCTAGCTATGAACAACATGTACATTGACTTCTCATTTAAATTTTGTTACATGTAATAAAGACAGTTTACCTACATCATAGTATTTATTACTTTGCAAGATTTTGACCCCCCTCAACGTCAACCTTGTCAAAATATTTTGATGTGCAAAAGTTCTGAGATATTTGTGTTCTGGGACTCCTAGAGGGGAACTATTGCCCATACGCAAAAACGCATGTAATATCTCAACGCGTGTTGGATTAAACGCTGATCATGTCCTATTAATTGGCCCGCAATGGTACGGAAGCCTAGAAAGAATCTATCAGGATTCGTAGAATTAAAAGCAAAAGAAAATGTGAGACTTGAGAAAATCATAAAGCTGAAGCTTTTTGTTGAACCACCGATTTTAGTAAAAATCTGTTTAGATATTTTACAGCATAAAACTGCTAGATGTATAAAAAAATGGTTAGCCAATAGTTTTTATTTACATTTTATTTTAAATAGGATTTTTAAGGCAAATGTTGCAGTTGTAAAGTTACTGAGAGTATATCTGTTTTAACGACTTCCACTTGGGTTAGGGTTAAAATATGTGAAATAATGTGATTTTTACATGAATATTCATTGTATGTAGATTACCACTGTTATTCGGTTCATAGGGCTGATAATAAATTTCTGAAGATTATTTCTTGATCTTTGCACATTAGTGTCTCAGTCTTGCAATATCAATCTTAAAATGTAAATTTGTTTCTTTACAGTAAAAGAATAGCAGCTCTTATCTAACTTTTATAACGTAAATAATGGCTTTAATAACATGTATTTTAACATAACATATCTTAAATTTATGTATAAGATTGCCAAATTAGGTCTGCTATTTTCACTGTATTGTTCAGTAATGTACAAACGGATAACTTTTTTTTCAAATTGCATAAAGCAACGTGGTCTGTGAGTAAATGCAATACGACAATGTGCAAATACATATACACAATGTATGTTGGATATACAGAAAAAGTCAAATAATTACATGTACATGCATATGTATACCAGTTAACTAATTATTGATTTCTGAAGTAACTGTTAGAATTTAATTAACACCTTTAATAAATAAGTCGTTAGGAATTGGTAAAATATTCATAACTGCCCCGGCAGAAATGCTAGTAAACTGGTCAAAAAAATACCATAACTGCTAAATTAGATGTGTATATTATCTAAGTTTTCTTTCTGATATGAACTCGAAAACAAAATTAAGAGAAAAAAAAATGATATGAGAGAAAAAGTTAAAGGCTATTTAAAATAGGAGTAAAAAGAAACTTGTGATTTAGCATCAATATACAACATTTACTATCAAATATATGTACTGAACTGTAATTTTTAGTTACATGAATGCAATAGTCAGTTGTAACTCTCCCAACCATGCGGGGGGTTAAAAGTTTGAGTCTAAACCGCAGGTAAATATGGTAATGTCACTCCCTGTGCCCCACCCGCCGAAAATTTATTGCTTCTGCACTGCGAACTGCAAATATCCCAGCAAGTGTGCCACCCCAACCAAATACTTTGTGTTGTATATGTTTCACAGGAAATTGAATGTCACCATTGTATTTCCTGATCTGTGATTGCATTAACGCGGCAGTATGCGGACAAACAAATGCATAATTTAACTTATTTTACATGCAACCCTACCATTGTCCCGGGGTTATACTTCACTGCCTTGTGCATCACGTTAAAATCCATTACAATTTTTGTATAAGGATATAATAGCTTTGATTATACAATGTGTATTGTATATGAATACATGTATGAAATATATGGAGTTAAATTTCGAAAGATAAATTTGATAATTTTATCAATCCCCTTCAGGTGGCTTTTTTTATTGATATCAACTGTCTCTCGTCGCTGAGGTTTTAAACATTGTAAACGACTTGCATAATTTCAAGCGATCAGCTATTTTGTGAAGTAACGGAGAGTTTGTGGTTCTACGTAAACTTGAAGCCTTCCACTATCTTGCAATAAATCTGGAGTCATGATTTGAACGTTATTAGTGAGACGTGAGTCAAACAACTCTGCCAAAAAATCCTTACTGTAAGTGAATTAAAAAAAGGGGTTAAAGTATATAACAAACAGACCCTTTCTTCCTCGTTATCCTTCACCATGTATATTTTTATCAACTCCCTTTGGACCATTTCCGAGAACATTTCCATCACTTCATCAATTCGGAGAGCTTCTAAATTATTTGCCCCCATCAAACCTTAAAAAACATTGTTGTATACATCAGAAATTTAATATTATAATGTCAATATAAATTCTGGATAGGATATTTAGTTCGAGAAATCCTGGGTGTTCGAGCATTTCTAGTTCGAAATTGAAATTTATCTGCAGTAAGTGAAATACAGGAATACAACCATTATCATCAGTCCACGGTGGATACTTTGTTTTATGTAACTGCAGATGTCCATGTGTTGCAGCGACAACCGGTGACTGTCTTCCAAAAAACCAATAATCAATTACATACTAGCTAAAACTTAACAATGAATTCCGTGACATTATTGTAAAATTCTGTGTAGATTAAGTCAAAAGTTTATCTAAAACAACAAGTGTCTTTAAAAGGGGATACGTTCAGGAATAATTTCCATAGTGGCAATGTCTTATACATAAATAAATATGAGCCGCGTCATGACAAAACCAACATAATTTGGGTTTGAGACCAGCATGGATCCAGACCAGCCTGCGCATCCGCGCAGTGTGATCAGGATCCATGCTGTTCGCTTACAAACCCTATTACAAGTAGAGATACTGATAGCGAACAGCATGGATCCTGATCAGACTGCGCGGAAGCGCATGCTGGTCTGGATCCATGCTGGTCGCAAACGCACTATGTTGGTTTTGTCATGACGCGGCTCAATTATCTGCTACCATGTACGATATACGTGTCCTTCTAAATAAAGCTAGATAGGTCAGTATGCACTGAAACCATTCCGATTTGTTTATTAAACAAATTCTAGTTAACATCAAATATTTTACTTTACCATTTTCCTTGGCTAGATATCTGGCAATAGCAGCACTCTGGCAAATTACTTGAGAACCGTCAATAGTAAGCACGGGCAATGCTTGCAGAGGCATCCCTGGCAAAACAAAGTTGTACAAGATATACACATCAAAGTAAACAAATTAATGTTCACGTGATTTAAACGTGAGACAAACAAGACAGTGGTATTGAGTTTGTGCATATTAAAATAGGCAAAACGTTTAGCATCATTTTACATTTTAGGCTATTAAAACAAATACGTGCTTAATTAAACCCTAAATATAGTAACAACAATCATGGATCTCTATAAAAGCCTCTGAAACAATGTAACACATACAATTCACGCAGGAGATTTGGAATTGACCAAGTTTGGTTTTCCTAATATTACAGAACTTAAAGGCGGAGACACAGGTAGAATGAAATCTATTTAAATTTTGCATGAGTTTCAGAATATTTTAAGCGGTCACCGAGCTTGTTTTAGAGTTCTCTGTCTATGAATTAGATTTTTATTTTGCTATTCCAGGTCATTTCAAAGGCAGATAACTGATACAGTCATAAGTCTTACAGATCTTATTTTTACAACAATACTGGTTTATTTTTTTTCATTATGCTAAGTCACACATTCATGAACTCATTTATTATGTTTCATTTTTTAGAAAATTCTCTATAAAAAACTGATTATTATTTTAAAGAAAACTGGCATAGGTTGAACTTCAACCAGTACGGTCAAATATCATATTCCATAAAATGATCCGGAAATATATATAAATGTCAGAAAACGTTGAGCTGCATTAACTTAGTTCATTGTAAAGTCTTGCGTACATGTACCTGACCGCACATTAATTATATATGCTAATTAAGTCCAACTACTTTAAATAGGTTAAGATGGAGGCAGACATCATGTTCTATTAGTAGCTTAATTAGTGCATTTTGAAAGGCCACCGCCAGCCCCTTTTTTCAGTTCGCGCAACACTGTTCCCCCTCTACTTGCTACGCGCATGTAGGTCACTTTAAATAACGGCAATGACAAGGATTACAAAAATCTTACCTTCTTTACGTTTTGCCCATTCTTCGCCAGTCAGTCGTTCATCAACAAAGTCAACTTTAGCTGCTTTCAGAACTAGCCGGCATAACTCAGCCCCACCTCGACTGTCGAAATATGTTATTTTATATTGAACCATTTTGTTTCAATAATTCCCGAGTCGGTAGTGAACTTTTTTGTCTTTTTTTCTCGCTAGATTCTACAGCTTTTGCGAATCGATTGTACACACCGCATCTATAGCTAGTGCGAACACGAGTGTCTAATAAACTGCGAATGCTTTGTAGAGAAAATTACAACATTTAAATCTATTTTCTAAACGACTGTATTAACAATAAACAAAAGTACGAATATAAATACATGTAGTTCCTTTAAATATCAAACTCAAATGTATTGGTAGTATCATAAACCAGTGGTTAGAACCTATAGTCAAACTTTTATAATTTCGTATGAATCTGAACCGATTGTTAGGTTTCATTTTACATCACGTTTCTTTTAATTAATGGGTAAATGTTATCGTTATTTAGAACAAAGATGTCATGGCGTCTATACATTACTAACCATTGTGGAGCTCTATCTTAGCCACCCGTGAGTCGGCGTACATTTTAATAGTTAAAATTCTGCACGTACCCATGAACTATTTGTTGCCCTTTGAGAATGTATAAATGATAACTTATACATTGAATTTGGAAACTCCCGCTGGGAGGTTAGGTTGCATGCACCCCAATGATTTTGTAGCGTACAAATCGAGGCCACGGGATGTTTAAACTAAAAAGGGCCTTCGTGGTCAATTCCTACGCATGAAAACTCCAAAACCGGTGTTAAATAGCATATACACGGCTGAAAGTGATATTATTTCTTACCTATATATCATGTGTTCTGGATCTTCTTGGATCTGTATAATTCTTTATTTGCCTAGGGCCTTATATTCATCAACATATCTTTCAGCATCCTAACTAAATCCATGTAGTTATGAGAGCCGGAGTCAAGATGCGAGGATAATAACAACCGTAGATGATCTACCTATATGTTCACAATAGTCACCCCGGGTTGGCGTTCTTCTGACTTCTTTTACATCTGAAATATTGCAAACCGAATGTTTTACTCCTAGATTTTCACCCTCAGATTGTTAATTTAATATACTTTCAAGTTATCGTCCCAAAAAAACAATTGCACTGGTGAGCCAAATGTGCTTTTTATTTGCGAACTGCTTTTTTTTTAAATTTCGAGATAATTAAGATTAAAAAAGATGTAAAATCAAACAAGCGAAGGAAGCGAAAACATGTAGATCTACAAATTTTATCTGGAATATAACATAGATAATTAAACATTATCCAGTTTTGTGCTAGCTCTAGTAACGGCTACACTCTTGAACAAACTTGTTTGACACGCAGTAACTTTTTATAATTAAACATTGTATATGTCGTTTAACCATTGTATTACATTGTACTTACACATTGTGTTTTTTTTCCCAATCAATTAATGCATTTGTAAACAACAAAAACAACAGGAGAAGTGGAATTTAATCCAATAGTACTAATTTATTACATGCTTTCCGGTGGTTTATAGAAATATATCAGTGATATAAAACTGGTAATTTCACTGTTTGAAACAGTGAAATTACCACTTTGATAATTTCACTGTTTTGAATTTAAGCCCCTTACGTTGTTTCAGTGAAATACCAGCGTGCACAGTACTGGGTACCAACTTAATGACGTGACGTCGTAAATGACGTCACGTTGTATTATTATTTGGCGCGCTTTTCATTCAGTATTAGGTTTTTAAAATGTCTTTTTAAAACGTTTCTTTGCATATAATAAAAAGAAAATTTGTTTAGTTTAGTGTAAGATCGAAATATATTTCACCTTGTGAACACCAAAAGTTCATATTTCACTCGTGGCTTCGCCACTCGTGAAATATACCTTTTGGTGCTCACTCGGTGAAATATATTCCGATCTTACACTGAACTAAACAAATATCCTCTATATATATCATTCCATTCTTAAAGCTAGTTTACGGGAAAAGCAAGAGAATTGGTAATACATGTGCATACTTTTACTAATATCCTAAATCCGTCGGGTCTTTTTGTTTCCTCGCAGAATCACCCAAAATTGGACCGATCCCGGATAAATATTCCTGTGTGTACGCAACCTTAATGGAGCTGGATGAGGAAAACCGTTTTAAAGCAAACAAATATGTTCAATTGTCAAACGTTTCTTTCAGATGACATACGTGCATTTTAATTACGTTTCTGATATTATGATATTTTAAAAGATATATGAAAAGACGTTCATGCATATAGTTGATATGAGATTTGAATGAATCTGATCAATGAATGCATGTGCGCACGTGTCTGCTGATTTAAATGTTGGCTGTTACACTATATTTCTTACATGGGTGTACAAATGAACCTTCATTAAATCAAGTGTTCATCATCATCATCATTATTATTATTATCTTTATTATAACCATGCCCTCAATATCAGCTGAGTAGCATCGTGTCATCAGCTACTATACAGTATGTCATCTGGAGTACGGATATCTAAGATGAGATTTGTGATTGCTTCCGTGCAAAAACATAGACCTATCAATTATTAGCACAAAAATAGCAAAGTAAATTTTATCATGGCTTAATTAAGCCATGAATTTACTAAAATTACATCTTTGAAATTACATTGTAATTCAGTTTACTGTTATTTTTCTTATTTAATATTTAGTTGAGTTTGTAAAAGCGTTGGGTTAATTTACCGATTGCTTCCCTTGTTACCTCTTCAATATTAAAAATTCCGGGAAATTAAAAATGGAAGCTGCACCAGAAAAGAAACGTAAAATCGAATCAGACAATGACCAAGGGGATATAGCACCACCGGTATTGTGCAGTTTTAAAGGTTTTGATATTGAAAAAGTAATTGCAGAAAATTCCAGAAATAAGACCACAACTATCCATGCAAAAATGGGGGGAAAAGATGCAATAGTGTTGCTTGAAAAGACACCGTTTGACTTGGATCATGTTAAGAAATATTTGTCAGATGATACTGCGCTGAAGAATACTCTCAAGAATGACATTTACGGCACGTACGAAGCGTTTTTACCGCCAACAGAAAATGGTAATACTTTATCTCATTTCTTGATCGAAACTAAATTAAATAGTTACTGATGCTGTTTTTGAAGTAGAAATAATTTCGTCCACAGACACTTGGGGTTTGGAGCTCAAAACGCCTTTAAAATCCAAATAAAATGCATATTTGTCAATCCCAGGACATGTACTGATCATATATATCAAAAAAACTTAATATAAGCCGTTTTGAAAAAAAATTATATTTCAACAACTAGAGTGGGTGGACCAACGCTCGGCGTAAAATACTATATTTGATATGACAAATTCAAATCAACGTCAACAAACCTCAGTGTTATATGTCCATTTTCAAGACTGTGATATTGTTTTAAAAAGCCATTGTGTAAAATTCGCTAATCACATAATGATGTGCATGGCTGGAGCTATAGATAGGCCGGATAAACAAGAGTGGTTTGGGTGAAATTGTACCATAGCTCGGCGTACAATACTACATGATGCAGGATTGTTTTTCGAATAAAATCTCTTTTTTATCTTATGAAGAAAACATATTGAATAAATTGTAACAACCAAATTAGGTTCATACATTTACAAGTACCCAACTTTTAGTTTAAATTTTACAGCCCCAGAACTCTAGTGTTAAAAGATTTTAATAATTTATATGTTGCGGATTACATACGGTTGTTCGTCTGCTATTAGCATTGTCACGTGACTTTACCAGCAGTGAACCACACCAGGATAAAATGGTGAAAGATGTAAATAAAAGCACCAGTGACCTAAATCTGAGATAACCCAAGACATTTTCAGATATTCTAAAAAAAAATATTTTTTACGCCGAGCATTGGTATGCGCCGAGCATTGGTCCAACCACTCTATAATAATACACAAGATAAAAATGTTCGCCGGAAAAAATCCGCACCCCTACCGTCATAATCACCATGTATTTTATTCCATTTCCAATATTTTCACATAATCCTTTGGTCCATCGACACAGAAGATATAATTCTTCACGATGATGGTCAATTTTAAACTTCAACGGTAATATAAAACAACGCAAACAGCCGAAATAAACATCAATATTATCGCAGTTTTTTCGCAACTACAAAATCTTTCGATAAATTCAATGGACCCAGACGGCTATGAACGAAGCTATCCGATTATGTGGTTCCCCAAAATTAAAAAGCGCTGCGCATTTTTTGCACACGGCAAAGCTGGGGCCACATAATCGGATAGCTTCGTTCATAGCCGTCTGGTCCATTGAATTTATCGAAAGATTTTGTAGTTGGAAAAAAAAACGGCGATAATATTGATGTTTATTTCGGCTGTTGCGTTGTTTATATTACCGTTGAAGTTTAAAATTGACCATCATCTTGAAGAATTATATTTCTTCTGTGTTCGATGGACCAAAGGATTATGTGAAAATATTGGAAATGGAATAAAATACATGGTGATTATGACGGTAGGGGTGCGGATTTTTTCCGGCGAACATTTTTATCTTGTGTATTATTATATAGTTGTTGAAATATGATTTTTTTTCAAAACGGCTTATATTAAGTTTTTTTGATATATATGATCAGTACATGTCCTGGGATTGACAAATATGCATTTTATTTGGATTTTACAGGCGTTTTGAGCTCCAAACCCCAAGTGTCTGTGATTTCGTCCTACTTTAGTATACTCTCACAGAACTTAGATAATTTACATGTATTGTATATTCATTTGAAATTTTAATTGCATTTCCATGTAAAATTTACGCTAGAAATGCATAAAGGACAAGGTTCACTAACAGTGCATTTTAGCCCTGTCATTTTATGAATTCAAAACCAATAAAAAGAATAAAATCATACAAGTTTCTCAAAAAATGACTCATTATCTATCTAAACATGGCAAAATATTACAGTAAAAGGTATTTTCATATCTAAAAAGTGCATGACATTTACCATCATGATGCCTATTTGCCAAAATAGCGAATTATCGGTCATTTGCTGCTGCACCTGCTTAAAATCAGATATGAAGAGCCACATGCGACACTTAGTCCTTTTCACAGAATGTTACCATATATATAACAAAGCTACGACAGAAATATGGTGGTGTCGGGTTTGGCTCTTCATATCAAAAATACCGTTAATCTAACATTGGCTGTTGCTATGATAATTTGGGTCAGCTGATAATAATCATATTATCTGGCTTGTACCAATGCATTTGTATAAACAACGTTAATCAAAAATATTCCTGACATGAAGGCCTTAATAGAAATATAATAACCTTAGATAACAACTGATTTTTAGCATTTAACTGTATTATTTAAATCATATCCGAAAATTTCCTGTCCGAAAATATGATAGATTAGAAAGAATGACATTCAAGTGTTGAAAACATTTTTTCATGTTTTATTGATAAGTGAAATCGAAAGTTTATATAACATACTTCATTTCTATCGTTTTTCCTTTTGTCTAAAGACAAGAAAGAATATTAATGCTCACTAATATTTTATTTGAATCAGAATTATTCACAATTCAAGGGAAGTTACTCATACTTAAAACTGAAAGTAGACAATTATTGCTTTCCTGTCAACCATCTTAGGCGATGTAGGTGTGAAAATAAAATGTTTGTATTTCACATCTTTTGTATATTATAATATCTTTAGTTTTAGACAAAGAAAATTTTTGATTCTGAATGAGGGAATCACAGATAGTCAGGTTTAACGTAGTTCTGGCTTCCAAAACTTTATAAGCCGCTTTTTAACATTTTTTTTTTCATCAGATGCGGCATTAAAGTTTTGGATTAGACCCGTTACGAAACCTAACCAGAATAATATAAGTTGATTTATTCTTGTTTTTCACTTGCAAATACACTTGACCCGATCAATTCTTGTGCATTTTACGGTAAAAACAATTATTTAAAAATATCGTTCTATACCAATTTCAAGTAAAAAAATATTAATACCGTTCATTAAAATTGCCTATTTAAAACTGTAAAACATCAATTTTCGCCGAGTAAAATCGGCCATGACATTTCAAGTGTCACGCGAAGACCTCGTATGACGTCATTCGCAGGAAACAGATTTGAATAGAGTTTGTGTACTAATATTTAGAACATTTTGTTGACATGATTTCGATATTTTTATTCAAGATAATGTTTTTAATTTATTTTTCATAACTTTTTAGTATTTAAATATGATTTTATTGAATATGACAGTCAGTAATAACCTTTTTTCAACATTCTTAAAAAAAAGTAATCTATAAAAATATTGGAGGCACATGGTTTCCTAAAGGTCAAAATCTCGTAATCACGTGGTCAACATTTTGGCAAGATGGCGGCCAAGTGCCAAAAAATCTTTACCTGTCGGAAACTATTAGTAAGTTTATGTTCCTAATAAGATTTTTATTTTGTCCATCCTTGCTTATCAACAGATTATAATCGTTTTATCAAAGGTATGTTTCACTTTACTTGGTGGCATTTCGATAAATAAATACGAAGCGTGTCAGATTCCTGGCACGATTATTGGTGGACTTTCCCTACGGGGTTATCTTCAGCGTTCACGTCATGTCATATATATAAACGGGTACGCTGAAGACTTTAAGCTAGGTTTAACGGTATTAGAATTTATTTTTAAAGCATATGTAGTAATAGACTCTCTGGCCTAGTGGATGTTGTTGATGACTGTCACCTAAGAGATCGAAGTTCAAAACCAGCGGGTGACAGTTATTTTTTTTCTTTCTTTTTAATTTAATGAATAGTTATCATACATAATGAACTGGTAATAAATATCAAAACCAAAACAAACTGGAAAATATAAAATGTTTAGATCAACATATTTTTAATTTGGATATATTCAACAAAAAGAAATGTAGATATACTGTGTCTGTGTACAGTGAATTTTAAGCTACAATAACTGCTTGATATAAATTAAATTTCATAGTTGAACTTTATCCAAAAGATGTGTGCTTTCAAATTTTGCGGAAAAAAAACTTTTAACTGCACCAACAAAGGGAATATCAGTAAACAATAACATTACCACTTGTTCAAGGAAGAACTCACTAATTATAAGTCAGGAACATACCTTTATCTGTTAAAAAGAATTCTGTAGAAACCTTAGTTATTGTACAGATAATTAATAGGCATGATCACGGCTTTAGTTTCAATTTAAGCTGTGCTTTAAATCATGATTTGTTAACTGAAATATTTTATGCAAGCAATTTTAAGTCTATCAAAAAGCTAATAATTAAAGCGGCTTTAAATGTATGTTGTTTTCTTTATTTCTATTTGATATGTATGTAAGTTAATTTATTCTAATACTTAATAAATGGTATTTATTTTTGTTATAGCTAGCTATAGAGACTAATAGGAAAAAGTAAATGCTATAAAGGGCAAATAAGAAAAATGTAAATTTTAAAAAAGGAGTGTGACCGATAGTAGCTATTTAAAATAATACTTATTCTTATTAGTGTCTAACCAACCTAGTTGTTCGTAGGCCCTACTCGCCCAGTGTTAAAATGGTTAAATAAATGCTATTTATTATTAGTCCTGTACTTGTTCTGTTAGGAAAATCCTGACTTTTTTACTTTACCTTAACTTGCAATATAGAGGCTACGCCTTTCAAAATGAGATGGTACGATAACACGGTGGTGTAAATGCCATGTTACGATGATGAAAAAACGATGACATGATCATACCATGGCGTCTGTTCTATTGTGCCACCATGTTTCACCAGTGTGTTAGCGCCTAAAATGGTCATGCCCAGTGATACAGTTTAATTAACATTAAAAATTGCTTAAAGCTAGCTGCTCGGGACCATGACTGTATGCTAAACCCAATGTTTCTAACATGAACAAGGACTTAGCATCTTGCGAGAAGAGTTATTCCTTTTGACTCACTGTCATAATTTTTGACATGTAGTAATTTTAACTTATAGGGAACTAGTGTATTTGGTAACGGTTATTAAACAAATGTTATTTATTGTTTACATTTATATATAGCCTTGTTATGAGTCAGTTAGAAGATTTGTGAATAAATTAGGGTATCATGCTATTTCAGACAGAGTTACAGTGCAGACAAACTAGTCATGTCTAATATATAGACTGTCAGAATTTTTTATATAAAGGCCTCCTCATACGAAGAAAGTGGGAGATTTAAGACTAAACAGTGATACAAAATTGTTTGTTTTTCAGAACTAAAACATGTATGAAAACTTCTAATTATGAGGTTTGATATACATTCATAATTATGTTATATATTATTCTGATGATATTTATTTTATATTGTAAAACCGCAAAAAAATGCAGTATTATGAATATCATTTTACTGGATTATTTATTGGAGCTGACATAAAAATTGTTTATTTATCTACATGTATCTTATATTAAATGCTTGTTAACATAGTATCTGGGATACTTTAATTGTCTACTCTCAAAAATGTTGTAACCTCTTTCTTTTGAATTTCTTCAACATATTTTTCTCACTTTTTCTCTAATCATAGTACTGAATTTACGTGTCCTAAACCAAGAGTGAAAACTTCTGACAGCCAAATGCATAATTTGTTAAGGTTCAATACATTAAACATGGTGACCATGTGAATTATTAAGTTTTTACATTAAACTTGTATTCTGTGAAACAAGAGCTAGCGGGGACACGCTTGACTTTATACTTTTTCTAAAAGCAGACAAATAAATGGTTTAAACAAATCTTTAAAAAGAAAAATAAGTTAAAAAAAATGTTGTTCCTTTTCTTCAAAGTTTGGTAGATATGTCTAGTTATACTTGTTGTTTTGTTCAAGTATGAATGATTTCTATAAATAAAATGACAAAGTTAAGAAAATATAAGAAAAATTCAATCATATGACGGTCACGGTCATATATAAATTATTCAACATGTCCGTTTGGTCACAAGGGTTGTCTTGTCCACGTATGGTAAAACTGTAGATAAATAACAAAATCATGACAACTTAACCATACTTTAATTGTATGACCTTGGCGGTCAAGGTCATTGAAAACTCAAGGTCAAGGCAGTTCAGCCATTAAGAAGGACTTGTCCAAGTATGAAGATAATCTATTTTGATTAATAACCAAGTTATAGGCAATTATAACAATATATATAAGTAGTGAAAATTCTATAATTTGACCTTCAGGGTCAAGGTCATAAATGAGTCAAGGTCAATTTTAGTTTGATATCAATGAATTAAGGTCCTGACCAAAAGATGTTATGTCTAAATATGAAGTTAATCCATTTATTAATAACAAAGTTATAGCCAGATACAGAATAAAATAAATTTTAAATAATTTGACCTTCAAGATCAAGGTCATTTATGATTGAAGGTCAAGGTCTTGTCTTGTATAGTTAGCTTGCAATTCTATCCTTAAAAGATTGTTTTGTTCAAGCTAGAAGACAATTCATTCAAAATTAACAAAGGAATAGCCACTTATAGCAAAAATCAGCAAAAAAGTAAGCAAAATTTAGACATTTGACCTTGAAGGTCAAGGTCATTTATAATTGAAGGCCAAGTTAAGTCTAGTCTTCTAAAAGGTGTTGTCTCAAAGATTGTTATCGCTAAGTATAAAGACAATAAACTGAAATTTTAAAAAGTTATGATCAAGGTTAAACGCCGCCATGACTGTTTTAATACATGTACCTCTATTTTGTCTTCGAAAATATGTCAAGCTTATAAAACTGGTTCATGTTTCCATAGCAACACTGTGACCATCAAAACATTCACATTCCTTATTGTGCAAAAAAATATGTAAAATCTACCATTGTACTAAGAGCTTACAGTTTATTCATTTGATAAAATTAACAATAGTCCAGATTGCAATAATCTAAGCAATTCGGTAAATCTCGCTGTTTTGCAGTGTCAAAAGATATGAAAATTGTTTATATTACCATGGAATTTTTCGTTTATGAATTCATTTAGTGTTTAAATATCAACACCAACCTTACAAAAGCTGGAAGGAAAATAAGTTGGCGTATTTTAGAATAAGAAAAACAATATTATGAGACCGAAACATGTTCAAAACGGCAAAAAATGCTGAATTTAGCTTGGTTGCTATGGTAACCAAATAAATAAAATAATCGCCAAATGTGTTCTTGTTTCTGATTAAGCACAAAAATATGAACTTTTACTGAAATTTTGATGAATTTCTGACACAGGGCAATTTTTCACTCATGCTGAACCTAGCCCTTTGTGACCAATGCAGATATGGAAAAATATACCAGTTGTCGGCTTTTGAATTACAAGTTTTATTCGGCAGCACAAAATACCCAAATTCATCCACATACAGTAAAGGCCTTTCCCCCAGGCACTTTTAAGGACGCGCTGCCGCTGTGCCTTAATCTCCAAATCAATCTCACTGCCGTGCCATAAAATCACCACAGTGCTTGATTTTTCCGATCCCTATCGTTCAATTGTTTATATTTTTAAATCAATAAACACAGCTGTTGTCAATCAGCACGTGTGATAACTAATAAACAGGTTGTTTATAGGGTGCAAATAATAATCAGTATGTCCAAAAGTCTGTCTGTCTTCGGTCCTGGCTGAATAAAAATTATGCGGTCCAAGATAAATTTCGTTACCTACCGGTACTCATTTTCAAATACAATTTCAAGAAGCTAAAAATATCAAGGACCTTTTTGAAAATAAGCTCCCGGTGGCGCAAAAAAATTTGTTAAAGATCCTGTCTTCAAAAAAGTTACATCAGCAAAGGTAAATTTTATCCGATGAATAACAATCATAAAATGATAAAAAAAAATTCAATCAAATATAATCAAAACCAACAACAACTAGAATTGTGAATGTTTTTGGCAGGAAACGGACAAATTCAGGGATTTTTTTTGGCTAATTTTATAGCCGTTATTGGGTCATATTCCCAATTGAAAAAAGTATATTATTTTCCCAATCCACAGGAAAAAATTCCCAATTGAAAGTTACAAAATAAAAGTATTGAATAAAAAATCTAAAATTTTTGCAAATAAAGGCTTGTTCAATGTATTAGTGCTTAAATGTTTGAAGATGCCATTATAGACAGTAATTGTTTGCATCCATTTAATCACTGCAAAATTTCAGTCATACATTTGTTTCCAACTTTTAACAAAACACCGCTAATATTCCCAATTCCATGGGTATGAGTCATGTTCCCAAAATCCTGGAAAAAATCCCTGAAATTTTCATTTGTCACATATTTTCACGATGCCGGTATTTAGGGGACATATCAAAATTGTCAAAAATCACTTTTTTGCATTGATTTTTCCATCAAAATTGATTTCAAAGTGCTGCAACTTCTCAATGGATTGAGATAGAGTCAAAGGCTTTTCAGCATTGGTTACACATTACCTTATGATCAACCTGGGTCATTTTTAGCCTCTTACAAGTCCAAAATTTTCTTGGCGGTGAGAGGGACTGCTGCCCTCCTTCAAACCCCCCAAACAAAAGGGGGCACATCCCCCTTCTGGCAACCCCCTGATGTATCTTTTGGCACCGAAAAGTGGTCATTTTTTAAACAACATTTTTCAAACAAAAAAAAGAGTTGCGTGTCTAAATAAGGCATTTTTCACCATTTGAGACAACAAATGGGGGTGGTGGTGAAAAAGGCAATATAGGCGTGTATATCGGGTAATGGGTTAACTTGATGATTGTGCCCAACGGGCCACCCAATATAGTTTATAAATTGCGCCTGTTAGAGGGCTATACATGTATGTCTAGATTGAACACATATTGATGAAGCGATCTTAGGCTTTCTTCCATTGTTATTGTTGTGAGAAAAGCCAATTTGTACTTTATTGAGATTTGATGTTTTAAAACTAACCAGTTTTTGCAATACTATATCAAAGCTATGCATGTTTACTTTGATAATTTATTAACATGCAAAGTTATAAAAATTAAAAACAAGGTAAACAATAAACAAAACTAAGAAAAAAAGAAAGAAATCTCAACTGGCTTAGTTCAGATGCTATCAAAACATCTAAGATGTATATATTGTTTTTTTGCTAACTGATAAAAAATCTACAGTATGAGTATAATGACTGAACATGCAGTTCAAGGAAATGTTTTTTTACACTAACAATTAATTGCAAATTGATGAAAACAAAATGGTTTAATTTTAGGTAGTAAAAAAACTAATTGGATAATGTATTGAAAAATTAGCCAAAAAATAAATAGATAATAACAATAAATATACACTGTATGTCATTAAAATGTGGTACTGAATGCATAAAATCATGATATACCGATCATATTTGACTTCAAAGTTTTGAAATTTCACTTACTTGATAATATCATACCTCAATGTTTCACTCACACTTTGAACAGGTGCAGCAGTAATGCAGTGGATACTTGAAACTGCATTTCTAGGGCTTAGAGCAAAACTGGTCTATCTTTGTATAGCAGATAGACCAGTTTTGCTCAAAACCCTTGATTTATAATAGGTGGGAATTATCAGAATAATTTTATCATCCTTATTAAGTATTAAGGTAATTTGTAGGGTGTATGAGTCATCTTAAGTGATAGCGCTAGTTTCATTAGATTTAAAAATTTAAGTAAGGGAAAATTTAGTATCAATATGGCAATCAATTTTATTTATAGACATATTTAGTCAGTTAGCATAGAGACATGAAAGTTGACAAAAAAGCTTTAATGCTTTAAATATTTTGATAATTGTATTGAAAATCTACATGAAACTTTAATGTTTTAAATATTTTGATAATTGATAGACTGACATATGAACAGTTCCATTTTAAATGCAAGCAAGAATAAGTTTGTTACATAAAATTATAAGATTATAGAAAGATAAATTTTTAATACATACATGTAGCGATCTTGAAAAATATTTATGTTTCAGCTATCAAGGCAGTAGTTATTCACCCTGCTACAGAGAAACATATTCAGAAATACTCTGATCAGGAGAGGTACATTATCAGGGAGACACCAGAACTCTACAGTAATGTTACACTACCCCTTCTACAAAGCAGGCAATTTAGTATGCAGGTGAGTAGTTTTCTACTCTTGATTAATGTGAATATCTGCTATTCACTAGCATGAAATCAAGGGAGTAGTTGCTTCCCTTTGATAATGAGTATGCGGTGACTAATTGTCTCCCTTTCCTTAGCATAAGTATCAGTTGAGGAGATTTTTCTCTGACTATTGCAAATAAAATTGAGTAGACAATCTTGATTAAAATCAGCTCCTAATTAAGGCTACGTATTAGGATCTGACAACGTCACCTTCTTGTGACCTTCACTGGTCAAGTTCAAATTTGCTCATGGTTTGATGATAACTGACAGAGTTATCACTCTTGAAGTTCGAAGAAAATCAGAAATTTTTAGTTTCCATTCATTATCTCCCCAATGGTTTATCACATTAACTCAAATTTGACATATGTTATACATCTTTTACATACTTTTGTTGAAATGTACGTGGTCATTATTTTGGCTACAAATATGCAATATGCAATTTACAAAAGGGTAACACTGAATAGTTTCAGTGCCTTGAATTTTGTATAAAAATGTTTTTTGTTAACATTGAATAGTTTTAAGGGCTTTGAACTTCGAATGAAAACAAATAGTTTGTGCAAACAAATTTGGAACTAAATATTATAACATTTGAAATTTAGGCTGCATGCAGGGGCATCTGTGGCATGACAACACATTTCTGGTTAACATAAACTTTTTTATTTATATGACATTTTGTTGGTTTCTTATACATAGGAACTATTTTCCTTTAGGGTCGTACCATACTCGATCAGATCATAAGAAATGCAATGTACATTGTTATGAAACACTTAGGTAATTTTTGAAATCAATTTAAAACTTTTTCTCCCCTTTGTCAAAAACTTACCTTGGTTATTGGCTATTGAATTTTCTAACCGGTTTTCAGCTAAAAACTCTCCGTACCTGTTTAAACTGATAAACATGGCACCCCTAATTATTATGAAAATCAGATGAGTAGTTCTTTTCCTTTAGATATTATGCATATCAGGTGAGTAGTTCTTTTCCTTTGTCCAACATGAGTATCAAAATAATTGCTACGGTTTTTGAGCAGAATGAAAACAATATTTATGGAATTATGTCATATTGTTTTTGCCTTCGCCATCTGTCCATCTGTCCAAAGCTACAAATCGAAAAATCTTGTCCGGCTGATTTCTGGCAATGTATCACAGGTGAATGATCTAGGAACCATTTGTTTTCTTGTTTACAAGAACCTATGTTTTTAAAATGAGGAAATTTCACCATAGTCAATCAACGTTAACAAACTTATTAAAATGTTAATTTTTGAGATGATAGTAAACATTTAGAAATAGTATTTTTAAGCCATATTATACATGTACATGTATGTGCATAATATTTTATGGAAATCTTCACAAATTTCAGATTTATTTTAGATTAGATAAGAATTTTCAGACAACAGTTTTGTCAATTTTTAAAATGCCTATATACCTTCTCTATGTTATGCAAAAGAAACAAAACCAAAAAAATATAATTTGTTAATGTCATAGTTTAACTTATAATCTGTTTTTACAGTGGGTTTACAACATTCTCGAGAAGAAACAGGAAGCTGATCGTATTGTATTTGAAGATCCGGATCCTGAAACCGGATTTATACTTCTACCGGACATGAAGTGGGATAGGAAAGATAAAAATGCTCTTTACCTTGTTGGAATTGTACACAAACATGATGTCAGGTCACTGAGAGATCTGGATGATATGTCTTTACCACTCTTAAGGAATATTCTCATTAAAGGACGGGTAAGTGTTAAGAGATACTTATATCAAAGTGTATTTTGCCAGTTTCATTTACTTGACGAGTGATTGTGTGGCTTGGGTTGCTGACTGCAAATCACTTGCCCCTCACTGCTAAGGGTTTGAGATCCATCTGGAACTTCTTATTCTATCATATGAAAAAGCTATCCAGCTAGTTTATGAAAGATTGACATTTCTACCAGTGTTTGTGACTGAAATGTTGCATAAAGGGTCATCAGCAGTAAATTTTGAATGTTACAATATCACCTTGTTTTGGGTGACTCACTATTTCAGAGACAAACAAATAAAACATCTACTTGGAGGAAAGGATGTTGTATCCAAAAGTATACTTTTTATACGCCCGTTTGAAAAACTGGACGTATTATGGGAACGCCCCTGGCGGGCGGGCGGCGTCCAATTTTGTCCGGAGCATATCTCCTACATGTATGGAGGGATTTTAATGAAACTTCATAGAAATGTTCACCACTATGAGGAGCAGTGTCGCGCACATGAACTAGGTCTCTAGGTCAAAGGTCAAGGTCACACTTAGAGCTCATTGAAAAATGCTTGTCCGGAGCAAAACTTCCACATGTATAGAGGGATTTCAATATTACTTGGCACAAATGTTCACCATTGTGAGGCGGAGTGTCGCGCGCAAGATTCAGGTCCTTGCGGCCAAGGTCAAGGTCACACATAGAGGTCAAAGTTCAGATAAAAATATGAATATGTGTATATGGACCATTTAGTCATCATTTATTAAGGGATTGTAACACAAATGGTCATTATCAAGACTATGGCTGTGATACATATAATTTAGGTCAATATATACAAGGTCAAGGTCATTAAAGATGATGAAATATCCAGATTTTGTCCGGAGCATATCTCCTACACGCATGGAGGGATTTTAATGAAATTTCATAGAAATGTTCACCATTATGAGAAGCCATGTCACGCACATGAACTAGGTCTCTAGGTCAAAGGTCAAGGTCACACTTAGAGCTCATTGAAAAACGCTTGTCCGGAGCAAAACTTCCACATGGAAAGAGGGATTTCAATATAACTTGGCACAAATGTTCACCATTGTGAGGCGGAGTGTCGCGCACAAAATTCAGGTCCCTGCAGCCAAGGTCAAGGTCACACATAGAGGTCAAAGTTTAGATAAAAATATGAAGATGTGTATAGGGACGATTTAATCATCATTTATTGAGGGATTGTAACACAAATGGTCATTATCTTGGCTACGGCTGTGACACATGTACTTTAGGTCAATATATACAAGGTCAAGGTCACTAAAGATGGTGAAATATCCAGATTTTGTCTGGAGCATATCTCCTACATGTATGGAAGAATTTTTATAATACTTTATGGAAATGTTCACCACCATGATATGTATTGCTCCATGCATGAACCAGGTCTCCAGGTCAAAGGTCAAGGTCACACTTAGAGCTCATTGAAAAACGCTTGTCCGGAGCAAAACTTCTACATTCATAGGGGGATTTCAATATAACTTGGCACAAATGTTCACCATTGTGAGGCTGAGTGTCGCACGCAAAATTCAGATCCCTGCGACCAAAGTCAAGGTTACACATAGAGGTCAAAGTTCAGATAAAAATTTGAAGATGTGTATAGGGACCATTTAGTCATCATTTATTTATGGATTGTAGCACAAATGGTAACTATCATGACTACAGGTGTGACACAATTAATTTAGGCTAATATTTGCAAGGTCAAGGTCACTGGAGATGATTAAATATCCGGATGTTGTCCGGAGCATATTTTCTACATGCATGGAGGAATTTTAATGTTACTTTATAGAATTGTTCACCACCATGAGACATAGTGCCCTGCACATGAACCAAGTCTCTAGGTCAAAGGTGAAGGTCACAGTTAGAGCTCTGACATAGAAAAACGCTTGTCTGGAGCAAAACTTCTACATGCATAGAGGGATTTCAATATAATTTGGCACAAATGTTCATCATTGTGAGGCTGAGTGCCGTGCATAAAATTCAGGTCCCTGCGACCATGGTCAAGGTCACACATCCTGTGCATATCTTCCCTACTGATTTGTTTTAAGGTTCATTTAACAACACAGTGCCAAGAATAAAAACTTGCTTGCTAGATAACACTTATCCATAATGCCCCCATCTCCATCTAAAGTCGATATAAAACCCAATTTATTAATGAAATGTCGCTATTTAGTTTTGTATGAAATTTATTTAATGTAACTTTAAACTAATACAGAAACATTTTACTATTTTGGCCAGGTAGCATCATAACGCGATAAAGTCTTTGCATTGCAATTTTCATGATGAAAGTTTTATTTATGATGATAAGTTTTTAACTGAAGTATACTTTCATTCTGTTTTTAATTTAATTATTATTCTTGCAACCAATATTGCTTTTTCATTAATGAATTGAGAAACAAGCAAATGAAAGAAATACGCACATGTATTATGGCTGTAAAACAGGAAAAAATATAAAAACAAAGATCAATAATGCAAAGCGACATTAATGGAATGCAACCTATGACAAAGAACAGTCAATCTGAACTACACAAAGGTATTCAGTAACAGGGCACCGAACAAAAATCAGGAGAGGGCACACAAATTTTGAGATGCAGTGGCTGTACCAGTAAATGAAATCAAATGACAATTAAATTAAGAAAGAAACCCTAAATGTCAAAGCTATTTTAAAAGCAAGTGAAAAAAAACACAGTTCAAGAGTTGCATGTATAAAATAAATTTTCAAGGATATCTGTCACTAATCAATATGATCTTCGTTGAAATTTTTGGCAGTTTAATATTTGACTGAAAAAATAAGTTTGCAACCAGAAATGCGTGAACTGCAAGTTTGCAACTTAAATGCGTTTGAACAAAATATTTGTGTGTATTGAAACTTTAATCGGAACAATTGGAACATGCAAATTAAAACATTTACACGGTATTGAAAGACACATATTTTGTCGTGTTTGGTGAACTTTAAAACTTACAGATGAAAAAAAAGGGGCATAAAAATCGCCCTGAACTGTCACTTGTCAAATCTCAAAATATGTACATTTTTTTTTTAACCAGTTTATATCTTAAATAACTTCGTCATAGCAGAAGCTAGGAAGCTGAATCCTTAAACCGAGTGTGCCATAAAAATTGCTTAAAGGAAAAGGAATATTAAAGAATTTCAAAATGACATACAAACCCACGAATACCTGAAAAAAATACATGAGAGCGTTGGTAATAAATATTCATGATTCGGTAGCCATTGTGTCAAGTTTGCAACCAATTTTCTAACTTGAACCAAGTGTGCAACCACTTCACGTCCTGCCCCTTGGCCTATTGACACCAAACTTGGTGTATGGATAGCTTATATTGAGAGGCTTCTGGGGATAATTACTCGGGCAACTGTGATTTAGGTCAAGGTCACTTAATTGTTATAAATAGAACTTCAGTTTTTGCTCAGAGCTAGAGTTTGTTATGACCTATTGACAGCAAATTTGGTGTGTGGGTAGCTTATATCAGGACGCAACTTTGGATTACTACCCAGATGTCTGTGATCAAGGTCAATGGCAATGCTGCTAAAAATAAAATTTCAGTCTCCACATATTAATTTGAGTTTGCTTAGACCTATTGACACCAAATTCAGTATGTGGGTAGCTTATATCAAGAGGCAGCTTAGGATTGCTATGCAGATGTATGTGAACAAGGTCAGTGTTTCTTAAAAAAGAAATTTAATTTTCACATTGCCACTTGTGGAGAAAGTCGTAATTACAGAATACTGGTAGTTATCCAGAAAAGCCAGTAAGGTGGATAAAGCACAGACATGTTTAAAAAATGTATAAAAACCAGAAAAAAAACACAGTACATGTAATTTTGATTTTGTCTATAATTTTTTTTTTTAAGTAGATTAATAGAAATATCTGTTATGTGAGTAAGGCGAATTGAAATGTTAGCAGTTGATAAACATTTACAGACATAAAGACAGAGGATACAAACAGAATTTTATTGGAAAAAGGATATGGTGATTTTTTTCCCATTACAACCAACTTTTAGTTTAATACATTTTTTTGGTGTTTAAATATCTGTAGTTTTATGGATACTTTTTGTAGTAATTCCCCCCCCACCCCAATAGTTTAATACTTTTTCTGTTTAAAAACTAATAATTTTTGGTATTTAAAAATCTTTTGGTTTAATGTTTCAGTTTATTGTATTTTCATGTGTTTTTCAGGAGGCAATCAAGGAAAAGTATAACATACCTGCCAGCAGACTTCATGTGTACATCCATTACCAACCTTCTTACTATCATTTTCACATGCATTTCACACACATCAAACTTGAAGCTCCGGGGTTTGGAGCAGACCGTGCACATTTGCTCACTGATGTTATAGAGAATATAGAAATGATGAGCGAGTATTACAAGAAACGCACACTGACATTTGTTGTACGTGAACAAGAAGATTTGTACATCAAATACAAAGAAAATGGGTACTTTGAAAAAGAATGATGAAGATTTTTTATCTTGATACCCATAATGTTCAATTTTTCAATATATTGAAAATTTCAATATGAAAAGAGCAGTCAATAATGAGCATATTATCGTGCTTAAATAGAAAGTGATCACAGCCTGCACATCCATGCAGAAGATCAGGTTCAATACTTGTGTAGCTAACTAAATTAAATTTTTTATCTTCATATTCCAAAACTTGATAATGGACATTTCTGAAAACCGAAGCTTGACAAGTGGATATATGGTATTCAGCGGGTTAATGATAAGTTAACATCATCAGGACACAGCTATGATCAAGGCTTTGAATGAAACATATTGCAGAAAGACCTAGGGAAGTTGAGATACATCTATTAGTTGAAGTTTGTTAAAGATCGTAATTTGTGATTATTTTTAGAAAGATTATAATTATCTTAAAGCTGCTCATTGAGGAAGCATGCAATTGATATATCTATATTTTTATAAATTTTTAATGAAAATGTGTTGCTGATTTTGATAATAATTTATAATAAAATGGAACAAGGACTTTAATTTTTATGTGTTACTGTAATACATGTACGGTATATTTTTGCCTTACTGTAAATGGTTGTATAAAAGGTGATTGAATCTGCGCACTCATGTCTACACATTACACACTTTGGTGTTTATGCTTCCAGAAGAGTGAGGATATAGTTGCTGCTTTGTCCCTCTGTCTGTATGTCTGCTTTTCTTGTCCAGGACATAACTCTGAAACTATAAGAGGTATTAACATGAAACTTTGTAGGTAGATATTTCTCATTGGGTAGATGTGCAGTGCACTAGAACTGTAAAATCTGTCTTGCCTAATTTTGGAATTATTGCACTTTGAACTTTGTCCAGGACATAACTCTGAAAATACAAGAGGTATACTTTTCTGTGTCCAAAATCTACTTGGGGAGCATCACTTGGTTTAACCCGCTCTTGTTTGTATGAGTCACAGTACAATCCTACTATTAAAACTATTAAAAGAAACAGAAAATATTTTATTCATTGTCTTCAGAAGGTCCGAGATTAAGAGAGACACTATGTAACTTGCCAAACATACATTAACTAACCAGATAAACATTGTGTTTAGTTCACTAAGTGGACACTATGTTTATGTCAACAGATAGTTCCTGTCTTTAGCTCACCTGATGTGCAGTGTATAACTCAAAAGATAGGTATTGTCTTTAACTCAGAAGATAGACAGTATATTTAGTTAACCAAGTGAAATTGTGTTTATCTCAACAAGTGGACACTGTGTTTATCTCACCTGATTAACACTGTGTTTATCTCACCTGATTGACACTATGTGTAACTCTCAAGATAGACATTGTGTTTATCTCATCAGATAGACTACATTAAATTTTAGCTCACCATATAAAGACTGCATTTAGCTCACCTGGTAGGCACTGTGTTTATCTCGTCAGATAGATATTGTGTTTATCTCATCTGATAGCCAGTATGTTTAGCTCACTAGGCCTCAGATTGCTTTGGTGAGGTCTGATGGTCACATTATCTCCATGGTATACAAAAATGTATGGTGTCCAGAGGTTCATAAACAAAATATTCTAAACCACATTCAGACTTGGGCTGTATGTAAAAGATTTATAAATGAGCCGCGTCATGACAAAACCAACATAATGGGTTTGCGACCAGCATAAATCCAGACCAGCTTGTGCATCCGGGCAGTCTGATTAGGATCCATGCTGTTCGCTTACCAACTCTATTACTTGTCCGAAATCAAATAATAGTTTTCAAATATCAACCAATTTTGAAACCCACATATATTTTTCTTATAAAACCCAAACCTACTTCAGTGGTCCATATCGGGTTATATTTTAGAATTCATTTTATTTTATAAAGTATATTTTCAAATGTTTCGTCACGTTGTTTGCCTCTAAGTTATGTGACGTTACAACAACTCAATGCACAAATACTACCATTGATATAAATGCACTACTTTACACTGAAAGCATGTTTGAAAATGTCAATGAACTTGTAGGTAATAACAATTTTGTTTTTATTCCCCTTGATTTATGTTATCAGACCATTTCTCTTATGAACAAGCTACACATATTTGAGAACCACAGACGGTCATCAAACTTAATTCCATTCTTATTATGTTTTAAATAATTTATGTAAATTGGATTTACAGTTAAAATCGCCGACATCAACCGTACTGTAATTTAATCTGTAAACGTTCTTTAAATACGTAATATTTATATATTTTATATGTGGCGGCATGGCCGAGTGGTTAACGCGTCGGACTAGTGATCGCTAGCCGCATGGGTTCAAACCCCGTCAGGGGCAAGTCGTTATTTCCTTGAGCAAGAAACTCTACACTCAGTATTGCTCAGTACTGGTTGGTTCCAGGAACGGATTCGAAAGTGTGTCTATAAGCTTATAGCTTCCTACACAAGCGAAGTAAAATAAATTCTGTATAAACCAAATGCGTAATATTAAAGTGGCGGAATGCCAGGAGTTGTTAACGCGTCGAACTAGTAATCTAATGATCTCAGGCCGCATGGGTTCAAACCCCGTCAGGGGCAAGTCGTGGTTTCCTTGAGCAAGAAACTAATTGCTTTGTACTGGTTGGTTCCAGGAACTGATTCGAACGTTTTACGGCCTTATTTTTCAATTAAAGCCATTATTGATGTTCCATTTATGCCTAAGAAATGATGTTATTTTCATTTCTTTTGTCTGGAAGTAAAACTACTTTGTTTACATTTTGCTACTTGTATGACAAAGCATGTTATTTTACCTTCAGTGCTACTCTTTCAGTTGATACACATCTAACATGCTCATAAACCATTATTTAGGCGTAATAAAACTGCAGTTTTTTCTTTGTAAAAAGGATAAAATTTGTTTCTGAGGCATAAATTGCCTTTAAATAATTAAACCCCGAATACATGTCTGTAGTCAAAGTAAATTATCTAACAGGAAAAAACAACTTTTAACTCTACTGCCAAGAAGATTTTACCCAGGCATGTACATATAAAAACCAATACATGTACAAGAGTCAAGGTAGCATTTCTTCCCCACAACTTATTCCCTGCGGTCTGGAGACCGCAGGGTATTGGTACGCGTTTTACTTTTGAGGCATGGAGGAGCACGTGACCTGTTTTCGGTACATAGAGGAGCATGTGATTTGTAAACCGTATACGATTGGTTAATTGACCTTTTCGAAAAGCCAGCTAAATACCGTTTGCCGTTACGTTACGGATTTACCTGTAGGGAATAAGTCCGAATTACACTTGAGAACAAAAATCTGTTACGTGATATTTTTAATTTTTATAATTATTTCACCGTACTTGAATGATGTGTTTGAATAGTAACAATGTTTCTTTAATATCTATCTCAAATTTTACAAACAATAAATTGTTTATACTGAAAATTTGCAAAATTAAAATATTCGTAGTGGCATCTGCCATAATAAAAAGAGATATTTTCTGCGTAAACTTGTGTGTTTACTTTATTATTATTTTTTTTTGCTCGGAATTATTCATAAAATGGTAGGCCTATTTAATCATTTTCTTAAAAAGAAATAATTGTTTTATGTTCGACCTTCTCCTGTCTTCAACGGTCACATGCAGTTTCCAAAGACCTTCTTCTATATTGTTCGATTACTGTCAACTATATTCCTGTTTCAAACGTTTATTTATTCCCCCCTCCCAAATAATGTTGAAAATAGTTAAATGAAATATCTTTATATCATTAAAAATGTTTACCGCAGGAAACCATTTACTTGTTACGATATTGTGTAGAATCCACTTTTTTTAGTCAGAAGTCAGTGAGTAACCCATATAGAATGTTTATAGTGAAAAGTCAATTAGCGGAACGGCGTGAAATTCTGATGGTTTTGAATTTATACTTATTTATAAAGTATGGATGCAAGTGATATTAAGCCTTTTTCTGTATTGTAATTTCGCAGACATTTTCACAAAAAAATTTACGACAATTTTTTATCGTAAGAGAAATCTTATGATAAATCTCCTTTTCGCAAAAAAAATCTTAAGAAAATCTTAAGTGTAAAATCTATCGTAACTTTACGATAGGTCTTGGCCGCTCGTAAGTGTAATTTTTTCTCTCCAAAGGGTAAAATATTACACATCTCTTACCTAAACTCAATAAAACAAACACACACCTGGAGGACAAATATATATTTAAACCCAAAAGGTTTCTATAAAAATTAAAAAATAAGGAACTAATTTTAAATTTTTTGAAAAATAATTCTTTACATGGTCATTCGATTTCATTGCCACTTACTTTGGGGCTTTTTTTTTTTAGTTACCTTCTTTTTGAAACTTTAGATTATAAATTTCATTTAAATATAAATTATATCAGTTTGAACATTTTTTTTCTTATTTAAATTGATTGTGTTCAATAATTATTTCAAGCTCTTTATTACTTGATTTTAAAATCAGAATCAAATATAGAGCCTGTACATTAATATCAAATGAACGTTGCTAGGGATGTTTTTATCGTAAGATTTATCGTAAGTGATTTTTTTATCTGAAGATAAAGTTTTAACTTTCGAGTGGCTTTGTGAAAATGACTTAAGATTAAACTAACGATTACCGTAAGTCAAAAACTTAAGATAAATCGTAAGATGTTTTGTAAAAATGTCTGCAGGTTAACTTTATTTTCTCTTAGATGTCTTCTGACCTCTAACTTTCCGTTTTTCAATTATAAACCTCAAGCAAGTTCTTTGAAATTTTAAAGAAACTATCTCCGATTATACCATTTATGCTTTTTTATGTTTATCTAAATTATGACATGTTTTTCTTCGCTTATGATTTGTTGTCAACATTTGATATAGGCCATATATACAAAAATACAGTATCTCTCATCTTCTTTCTTCTCTTAACGGGAAGTCGCAGTTGGTTACCTTTCATACGAAATATTAGGATTTAAATTACATTTTATGTATAACAAAATAAATTGTAACAAGCTCGACAGTCATTTTGTACTTAAACTCTTTTTTTGACATTGTGATAATATTACTATAAAAAAGAATGAGTTCATCTTAAATCTGTGTTTCATATATCAAATAACCAACAAAGCTGTTATTATTTTGCTTTATGAAATGATGCGTCAAGATAGCCCGTTTGCACGCCATCATATTTAAAGTACATATCAAGTTTTGAAACTCTGGGTGATTAACCTCAGCTAACGGATGTATCATTAAAGTATCATTAAAGTACACTCATAGTTTGCTGAGTGCACACGGTTCAGGCGTTTACTTAAAGTAACGCGCTTTCAGATTCGTGAAACTTAAAAAAATGTGCAAATGAATATCTATTTTCATGCCTACACATTAAACGGTTTAAATACCCTAAATTATAAAAAGAATCTTGCCAACATGTGCAGAAATACCTCTTTCACCGTTTGTAACAGAGTAGAATTTTGGTGACAAAAATAGTAAATTATGTCATATTTTGCATAATACACACACAGCCACACCTTTTATGAATTATTATGCATTATATATGCCACGGGTATTTTGTTTCAAAAGAAACA